AAGTGTACCGACTGACGTAATATCGTGGTAAAAAACGAACGCTTTTTACTGTAGGACGATGACGTCATCATACAAAAGGCGTCTTCACTCTGGCATCCTGAATTTCAAACCGTTAAAACCTAATTTTCTCTGCTCGTCAAGAACGCCTCTGAGGACAAGTAGTGGTAATGTGCTTGTTAGAAAGACGTCCAACATAAGAAAACATTTATAATCAACTTGGTTAATGCATTGATAAAGGGAAACTTTCTCCTTTACTCTTAGGGACAGAGTTCAAAAGCGCAAAAGATTTTTATTTCAGCTCTAGTATGTGTTGTCTAACGATTTGCCTTGAGCTTCTCTAAATTTTCCTGATCAAACAAGCTGTGCCCGTCGTAGACTAGACTGCAAAACAGTCAGTATTTTTGCGTATTAAATTACGCGCTAACAGTCAAACAAAAGGTCCGAGTCGCGCTCTCTGTTTTCAGCCTCGGACCTTTTGTTTGACTGCTAGCGCGTAGTTGAATACGCAAAAATACGGACTGTTTTGCAGTCTGTGCCCATCGTACATAATCTTGTCTGGGCTCCCTTGAAAAATTGCCGTCCCTACTCCCTATTTTTGGAATACGGCTCCGCCGCCAAAACTTTAATCTCGCACCCACACAATACCGCCAGCTACGCAGGCTATCAGAAGCCTTCAAGTTCATCCTCCGCCGCGACAAGTTCATGTTCTATTTTAATGGGTGGTTTTCTGGAACTATGCTATGGCTTGTCGTTTCTGGTCGTCACTATATTAGCGAGCACGTTTTAATTGTCTCTAGCAAAAGTATCTATCAGGAGCGTAGCCAGGATTTTCCAGGTGCGCGCACAATTTTCAAAACTTACCCTAACTTGTTACTCAGTTCTCTCGTAACGTTTCCCCATTACATTTGCTAATTCTGTTAACTAGGTGAGGTTATGCGTGGATGAAATGGCACTTTTACCCTCAAGGACGACTCTCACGTTTTGCTGACACTTTCTACCTTAGAAGAGAGAAGTCAAGCTTTGCCGTTCCCACTCCGTGTAAAAAATGTCGTTCGGCTGTTCAAACTACTTTTAGGAAACAACAAACTTCCCAACTTTAATTTTTAATAAAGGTATAGGGGTAGGAATCCAAATTGTTTTCAATTGTTCTTCAAAATGTACGCCATGCAAATGGAGTATAAAAAATTAGTTTTTCGAAGAAAGAGTGAATTAAAGGTGTCATGAGGCGTGTGTGATTTTAAGAACTATTTAACGCGGTCCTTTTCTTACGGCTTATGTCCGTTGGTGAAATTGCTACTTGGGTTTTCTTGGATTGAAAAGGGCGGGCTCTTTCTAAACGTGGAGTTGTTTATGGAACCTCAGTATTCAGAACAGAATCAGTCGATGGCAACAACGAAAAGGCTTTTATGTGGTAAGTTACAGTGATGACCCTTGCCTGGAGATGGTCATATTTTTGTACATACCTTCAGTGTTGGTCTGACATTTTTTTGTTATGGATGGGGGAAGGGGGGGAGAGAGATCAGAACATATACCTCGTGTTGTTTACGAGACATTAAAGTACTGAAAGCTGTTAAACAGTCTTCTACAAATCAGAATAGTTGCAAATGCTTACGGGAGCCCCTTACTATATGATGATTAGGAGGGCGATATTTGGAATGGTGCATGGTCGTGGAGTTAAGGAGATTTGACTAATCAGCAAATTTCCCGCCGAACATAAGGGCGTGGCCGGTGGCCCCAAAATTGTGTTCGCTCGCCCAGAGACCTCAGAGACCCATCAGTTACTGTATGACCTTCTCGGATCAGATTTTATGTCCGTGATGTAATACTGGTGGTGAGGTCAGTCCACAAGCAGAGTCGTGAAAAACACCGACACTTAAGCCTTTACGTTCAAAACATTCCTGGCTATCGGGGAAAAAAAGGAGCTTTTTAAAAATACTAAAATAAAATGTCATTTCAAATTTCACTTTGTCACCGTTCGAAAATCATTGTTAATCAGACCAAATGAAAGTTCGCTCAAAGAGGGGGAGGGGGCGGGGAGGAGCCGTAGTTCTTAACAGTTCCAGTTTGCTAAAAAATTCAAGGTTACGAAAAAATGCTGGGCAAACTGCAGAATACATGCACCAATGAGAAAGAAAATAAAAAACAATTTCCTGTTCAAAGTCGGGTGAAACGTTTAATAGCGTCAAGAAGACTGAACTTGATTAAGGTTGTTCATTTCAGTTCTGTTCCAGCGTGCAGTTATTTGTCCTCCTAAAAATAGCTTCGTCTCCCACCGATCATTCCATGTCATATTTTTCGGACTTATTATTCAGTAATGACGGTA